TGAGCCTATTTAAATTTATAAAGGGATTCTGCACACCTACAGGAAAATAGCTTTCCAGCGGTATGCGTAGATTTTCCCTACGATGCACACGAGCTGAGAAAAAAGGTTTTAAAGAAACATGCTTGCCTATTAATATATAGATAGATAGATTTGAATAACTACAAAATACAAAGTCAATTGCTATTGTTCTTATTTTAAGGTAGTTTTTAGCGAATTTCCCCGTGGGGAAACACTATTAGTTCAAATTTTTATATAGGCCTATGTATTTATGTAGGCCTATCCATGATCGTGATAACTCGAGTAATTTTGGTCTGATTTTGATGAAATTTGGCTTGTAGGTGTGGGGCGTGATAAACATGAGTGAGTTCGCTGACCAACACCAACCTCGCTAGGATTTGAAAAAGCCCATTTTTGTACATTTTGAAACCCCATAATATCCCTTTTCTATGACTCCCCGAGTCATAGAAACGATATATTAAAGGGTTCAAAATGTAAAAAAAGGTTTTTAAAATTTTTTAGCTTTATAACATGGAAATGTCCGATTTTCAATACAAGCTCTAAATGATTGTTGTATAATACAACAATCATTTAGAGCTTAAAAAACAGATAATTTTGTACATTGATACATTGTTGAAAAATTGAAGAATAAGGAGAATTTTAAAGAAATTTAAAAGAAAACTGAACATTTAAGATTCTTACGTTATTTTTACGAAGAAAAAGAAAACTGTTTTGGTTTGCTTGTTTATGGATATATGTTGATCAAATTTGACATCTTTATTTAATCTATTACTATTAATATTTTTACAAAAACACTGTTTACCTTCCCCGTAGCAGCAAACCTACGTGTTAGCCAATATCTAATGATATTTAAAACTCGAATAAATTAAAATATGTCTGGTTTATGGAAATATTTAAAGTAACAATCCAATCAGACGGATTGAAATTCAATTAGTCTGCAGGTTTGCTGCGGCGGGGGTATTTTTAGTTCGTTTGGACTAACGATACTTGTTTCTTTAGATAGAGCAATTATAAAAAGATGGGCCAACCTACGAGACGCATACAGCAAAGCGAGGCGAAGAGTGATAGAAAGCAAGAGGAATGGTACGAGAGTGAAAAAATATTGCTACGATGAAGACATGCAATTTTTGAACAAAATCTATGATAAAGATGGGTTTGATGAAACACAAGAAGAAATTGACCATAGTTTGTTGGAAGTAAAGATCAAGAAAAAGAGGAAACGACCAAATCCTGAAGAAACACCCAGAAAGCCAGAGGAAGATGTTGAAATAATTCCGGTAACCCCATTTGAACCATCGCCTCTCAACTCACAATTGTGTTTTTTTCAGGGGATTCTTCCCCATTTGAATAACTTTGACGAAAACGAAATATTAGAATTTCAAATGGGAGTTTTACAGCTGATTGCTGGCATTAAAAGTGCAAGGCAAAATGCTTAGTAAATATCTTTGGTGACATATCATGGATGTCAGTGTCTTACCACTCTTGGCTACCGAGGATAGATTAGTTAAAAAGATATTTCTATTCTAATATAGATCCGTACCATAAACAATAAACAATTGTTTGAAAAGACTGTTAACTTTGTTTAGGGTCTAACAAATGTTTATACTCCAACTGAACTCTTTGACTCAAAAAACTTGACCAAATATATCAATTAGTCAGACATAAAGTTCCTATTTTCTAGCTTGGTAGGATATTGATTGAATTTGATTTTGAAAATACTTTTATTGCTGAAAACTGTTTTAACGTGACCGAGCATTGATTTTAATGTATGTTGTTATTTGCTATGACCTGTGCAAACTAGAATAGGCTACATTGTAACTAAAAAATCTTTTAACTATCATATTTAATTTTAATCTTAACAAACTAACCTGTCTCGCATTTTTTAGCGAATTTCCCATATAGGGAATAAGCTTTTTTGTTATCCATTCATCTAATTAAAGCAACTTGGACTAATAAAATCCAGACAACATATATGGTCTTAACTCTTTGGCAAGAGAAGCGTTGGACAGGAAAAAAAACGGTGTTCACTATTGACTCTGTGTATTTATTTATTTCAAGGGACATCTCTATTTTACAAAAATTTACTATTTAAACAGATAAACTATTTTAAGTTGAATGCTTACCTAGAATAATAAGTACCGTAGTGCAATCAAGGTACGGTAATTTAATTTAATCTCAAAGTAATATATTTTGTCCGTTTGAGTAAATTAATATCATAATTGGTTGAGAATGACACATTGTTTTATCATTCAAAAGTGGCGGCATACGGGTAAATAAATACACTATGTATTTATATTTGTTTTATCTTTTAACCTTGTATCCAAGTGATGTAGGCTAAAAGTGTGGTGTACGGATTTATAGTCTGTACGATGGAACCTGTCTCCTTACCCCTACCTAATAGTAGGACTGGCCATTGGTCAGTCCCCAGGTAGATGAAGGATCAGCCAGACTTGTTCCACCATACAGGGCTATAGAGCATTGGGTGGAGATATTATTTTACGGAGGATGGAAATTTAGCATTTTCATTTTTTAATGCTTTTGAATTAATGGTTTGGAATTTTAAAAGCTACATATAAAGAATATTTATCATTTCCTATAAAGCTTTGAATTTATTTTTACTAATTTTTAATTTTCCAAAATGCCTAAGCTGGATCTAAGCTACAGATTTCTGTAAATATTTAAATGATTGATCCAATTTTTGGCAAGACTTGTTGATGAACAGGTGCTTGCTTCCTGCAATTTTTTATGTTACCCATTTTACTTATTGTTCTCATATTTGTTTGAACAGATTGTAAAATAAATTCTGATAAAAAAAATCTCATAAATCAACAACTACAAATAAGTATAATTTTGTTGTCAAATATTTTTTTACATGAGCATGATTCAATCACTACACTTGTCAACTTTTGTTTTAACAATAATTTTGATGAAGAAAATTAATAGTTTTACTTTTACCCTTGCAATTTGAAATTTTAGCAGGGAATCTTAACAATACATTTTTATGTTTATAACTACAAGACTAATATTTTGTTTATTCTCTGTCACATTAATCACAATGAAAATAGTCCTTTTTTATACACAAATTATGAAGTAAAATACCCATTTGACAATAGTTTTGCAGCAGAATTCATCCAGAACAGAAGATGTTAGTTACCAGGATAAGCCATGGGTTTACGTTTACCTTATGGTTTATGGTTTTGTAATCTTGTATGTTAGGCAGAGCACAGAACCACAAAACTCCTTTAATTGGATGGTTTGTATTTTTTTTATCCTGTGATTGTTACATAGATAAGCTGCTTTGATACCTAAATTAAGATTTTAATATTGATAGGTACTAAGGAAGAAATGAACCCCATCATTGCTATGGTAAGAAAATATTGGTATATTAGACATTTAAGCATATTATAACAAAGCGTATTATTGTTGCATTAGGATATATGATGCCGAACTAAAGGAAGTTTAAAATTAATTGAATTAACACATTTTGTAACTGCTTACTGTACTTCCTTTAACATCAATTAAACTCTTTTTACTATTTTTAGGTTATTTTTACCAAATTTATGAGAACATCAATAAAACTGATTCAGTGTGATTGTTTTCTTCAGTTTGATTGATATGACATAAAGATTCAAATTTGAAGTTGTATAATGCCAACACACCAAAGCAAACAAATTGAAATTGATTTAAGGCAAAGCTGAGTGATTGGATTTGATATTCAAATAATATAATTACATTACTGTAAAGTGATGTAAATTAATTATTGAGATAAAAAAAGTGATCAGGATAGGTATGTAAAATATAAATATGGCATATTTGGTCGGAATGTTCCCATTCCCTTTCTGGACCCTTTAAAAGTACAATTTAATAAAAAGAAAACCAAGAACTTACATTAAAGATAATATTTTGGGGTTTATTATTCGGTTGAAGATGAATTAAAAAACCTCAAGGTTGGGCCACTATCATAGTACAGTTGATTGAATTTTTAAGACGTTGGCGTTACACAATTTCCTTTTCGATAATATTATAATATTTGTTAGAACAGGCAAGCTGCAGTGGTAAGTCACATTAATTACAAAAAGGGAAGTAGCTTGGATGAACACAAGGGTGTGCATATCTACATACTTTATAACTAAACAGGAACAGGTACTGAAGAAACAAGACACAAGCCCAGTTCTTTTACAAACTGAACCATTAAAAACCGACCTGTTTTCCAGAATTTCCAGAGGTATTGAATTTCCCTTATAGCCCCTATGTACTGAATAAATTAAATTGTTTGTATCTAAGTTACACATGATGGCTGAAAGGTTTGATCATTTTTAAAATGTGACAGCATGAACATGTTAAAAGAACAAAAGTCAGATTTTTGGACCACAGGGGCCGTCCACATATTACCATAGACTAAACCTAAACATATTACAAGTAGACTTCTCATCTGATTGTACATTTTGAAGTTAAATTTTCGTGTCTAGTTCCATGTTGGTGACACTGATCGCAACTTTACTGTAGTTCAGGTAGACTTCTCATCTGATTGTAAATTTTGAAGTTCGTTTTTCGTGTCTAGTTCATGTTGGTGAAATTGATCGCTACTGTAGTTTCAACAACATTTTGTTTCTATTTAGGGCTAAGTTAATGATTTTTGCTTTACTGTTTGGACTACGGGGTGAGTTATTGTATAGTTGTATTTGGTTAAACAAGGTTTTAAATGTCTGAAATAACAAGAAACAAATTGTAAACAAAACACGACCTCTACAGTACACCGGGTGGAACCAAGTGACTGGTTTTATCTATGATTATAATTTCTAAGTTATAAAAAATACCCGGAACACGAAACACCGAAAGTACAGTACGACGAGGCATCATGGAATAAATCTATGCCACCATCTTGTTGCATAAAGAAGAAGAAAGTGATCCTGTCAGCTGTCTGCTGTCCTGTGGACTCTCCTGTCACCTGTCACTGTCACTTCACTCTCCTGTCACGCAACTAAATAAAACTGACTCGTATGAATATGATTGGGACAGGTTAGAAGTGTTTACGTTTACAACAGTTCCAACTTTGTCTAAATTCGCTCAAAAATTTAGTCGTTAACCCAGTTAAAACTGTTTGAACTAGCCTAGGCCTAATAAGTTATCTTTCCAGAAATGATTGAATCATGTTCTAAACAACGCATGCTTCTTGGGATCATATGTCTTGGAGGGTAAGTACCTAGATTAGCCTACAATAGGAAACTAGGCTGCATTCTTTTATGTAGTAGTTACAACCATTTAAAGATGATCACCATTCTGTTGTATACTGAGTAGCATAATGAAAAGAGACTCCAACAGTGGATTGGCTCAGTAAGAGGTTAGTTCAAGAATCACCTCTTTCAAAGTGGCAATTAGAAACAGCGAACAGCCTGGTAAAAAGGCCACTGTACTCGCTGGTAGTGGTGGGAATCACCGAATGAAAATAACCGAATCAATCGGTTATTGATGCTGATTAGACTAATTCGGTTATTTTATCCTGGTTCGGTTAAATTAGTCTTACCGAGCGATTCGGTGATTTCGTTATTTAGTTGATTTAGTTTGTCACATCTTTAGGAAACTAAAATTTATTCGGCGATTCGTTCGACTAAAAATCACCGATTGACGCTAAAGGACTAAATGCCATTCACTTTCCCATAAGATAAAAATTAGTTGTGTTTTGTGACAGTGAATAATGACTAAAATTGATTCGGTGATTCATTCAACTAAAAATAACCGATTGACGCAAAAAATAACTGATTGATTATTCGGTCATGGAAACCATTCGGATATCCCATCACTACTCGCTGGAGGAGCTGAGCGAAGAGCTACTAGAAGTCTCTTGAGGAATGAGAGCCCCTAATCCAGGAATGTTTTATTTTCAGCCACAGCCTAAAACTTAGTTAAAGTTTCTTGCTACTTATGTAGGCCTATATAATATGTAAAGTAGTGTTTTAAAATGTAAGCTACATTGACACAATCTGTCCAACATTGTCGTACCATATTCATATTCATTTGAGATGGTCATCGATGAGGATTCAAGAATCAAGTATTAGGTGCATCCAAAGCAATTCAGAGCAACGCTTCACCAAAGCCTACTCAATAGGTCTTTGTTTCGCTGAAAGAACTGCCCGACAAATCAATTAAGCTGCTTAAAAACCAAGTCACATCCATCAGCAAAGTTTGATTTGTAAATAAGTTAGCCTAATAGGTCCATATATTATGGCAAGTTAATTATTAATACCCTATGAGATAATTCAAAATAACAGACTTGAGTTATCATAAATTTCCAAATATACAAGTATTGTGTGTAAATGAAGGCTTTCAACATGCTCCAGACGCTGCCAAGTGAGCTTTTTTAAATGTGACGCCACTGACCAGGGTTACCACCTTTGGTTAGGAAAAATTGGGACGGGTACCCTTACATCCCAGATTAACATAGACATAAACACTGGGGTTCAAAGTCGGGACTGTCCTGGTAGAATCGGGACGGTTGGCATCAACCTTGCCACTAACTGCCAATTTACAGATACCTTTCACCTAACAACACAATTCAACTGTTCATCAGCTAAGTTCCAAAAGGCATCTGTAATACAAAACATGTTTTAGGCGACCCAACTGGTCCATGTCTTAATCACATCTAGGTTAAAGAAACAAATCTCGTGCCTTGTTTGACATTAATTTGCAACACAAGTTAATTTTTTTACAGTTTAACCATTCTGGTGCTGGTAATAGAAAGCAACTGGGCTGTTGGTAACGGAAGAACTATAAGAGTAGTCGAGAAGAACGCTTCAGGAGCTGAGTTTTGTTGGTTGACTGAAAACTTCAAAGTTGTGGAGGAGTGTCACCCTTGCACAGGTATGTCAGCTCAGTTAAGTTTTTTTTAAGTAAACTAATTTATTACTATACAGTACCTAATGAAATAAATTCTACCTAAATCTGGTTTCCAATAAATGTTTAACCAGTTATCTTATTGATTAACCCTAACCCTAAGTACTAAGTCTCCTGGGTACGACCGCCTCGGAATACTATACAGCTAGTTAGGGCTTATCACCAGCTTTGAAAATTGCTATCTGCAATGAAGCCATAACGTTAGCAACTAGCCACATTCCACCTAGTATTCCAAATCGTTCGTACCCAGAAGACCTACTACTTAGTGATTGTGACAAAGCCTTAATCCCTAACTTATTGATTGTTAAAGTTTTAATGAAATTGAGTTGTTTATGTTATTAAAACGATTATTGCGGACATTTTCACAACTAGTAAGAAACAAAGTATCTGTGACAGTTGGGGATTCTGATCTTGTTCTGGGGTAAGAAAGTAACTTATCTAAAGCATAAAACGATAAATAGGCCTACACAAACCGAGCTAGAAACTAGCAACTAGTAACTAGCAACAGTAACTTTTACAAAATAGTGTAGGCGATCCCAACGGAATTGATGTGCCTGCACAGCTGCAATAATCCCGCAAATAACAGTTAACTTAGTTTATTGGTGATTGTAACACTTGTATCCTGTTAAAGGCAGAATATTTTGTTTCAGACTTTGAAATTGCCAGTAAAAGCAACAGAATCTGCAGCGGAACGCATTTCAAAGAATCAGTTATCTGTGAAAAGTCAGGCAAAGTGTTTCGAAGGTGAGTTTTTATTGTGCTGTTTGTATAGCTTTAGCATACCTGTTTTTGTTTATAGTTGTATGTTTGTATAGTTTTATAGCTTATTTTTGTTTATGCTTTTTGGATTTTTTTAATTCTTGTAAAGTAACAGACCAAACTCTCTTGTTGAGATCTAATCCTCCTTACCCTTTTTTAGATTGCATCACTACCTACTTGATAGTCTAATACTGAATGTAATCTAATTTTTAATATTATTATGAACTTCAAACATAATCTCTGGAGATTCTACAAACTATATCATAATCAGTCATGTAATTACCAACGGGTTTATCAATATTATTAATATTCCACTGTAATGACAATCATTTTTGAAATTCAAGTTGAGATGAAACATTATAAGGATATTTTCTGATAATATGTTTTTAAGTAAGTGGCAAGAAAGTCAAAATATTCTTGACCCAGCTTGAAAGATTAAAGACTGTAATATCAACATTCAACCTAGTTTCAGCCTAGGCAGTATCAAATTTGAGCAAAAACTCTTTTAGATCAGTAAAACATTATTTTAATAGTAAAATGATAAATTTATAGTTGTGAACGAGTGACCTGGCTAGAAGAAAAGAAGTTCTGGCAGTTTGAGGGGTTCATGTTCATGGTTGGCTGCTTTTCTACGGTGACGGTCTATCTCAGACAGCGAGTGCTGGACTATCGCACACTCAAACGTATCCACAGACAGATAGCCAATAGTGTCTAACATCCAGAAAAGTGAGTTTAACCATTTCTTGAGAAAATTTCAGTTCCATTTTGTTTTTAGATTAATTGTTTTGTTTTTCTTAGGTACGTCTTCACTCGTGAGATTCGATTGCAGGACTCTCAAATTGAAAAAGAAATGGATAGGCCTATAAAATATAGAAATTAGTAGGTACCAGTAGTTCACCATTCATTATGAGGCTTATGGCCGTGTTATACAAGCGCTAATGCACGGCACATTTAACTTCGGTGTGTTGGGGAAACTATATAAATAGTTCAGGTTATATGAGCGGTAGTGTTGTCAGCGAGTCCGTGTTAGCCGAGTTCCCACGAAAAATGTGCTGCGGCATTCAGCGTTTGTATTTACTAGCTAATAGGCTACCATTCCATGTTTTCCAATAGTTTTCAGTTTAAGGATTACTGACAAGATTCCACCGATAAGCTTTAACGTAATGACAATCTTTACCAGATAGGAGGAAGGATTTGTGATTTGGAACTTGAAATTTACCCTACATGGAAAGTCCAGGATTAGGTGACATAGTTTTAACAGAGACCTTAACGGATGTAAAATGGACTTAATTTTTTAAAGATGTATGGTTGATACTGGAAAGTACAGTGTATACTACAGTAGAAGAAAATGTTTGCTGCACTCCATGCATCCACAATCAAACTAAGAACTAAGATCACTACAAAACTTAATCTAGGCCTACTTGTCCTACAAAAACTTGCAATTCATGCACCATAAAACTTGTACCATTTGGTTTGATTGGGCTACCTGGACAGTCACGTGACTTTTTTTGTAAAAGCATGTGTTTTAAACAAACTGTAAAGTGTAGAGTTGCAGTGATATTATTTCTTTAGACATTTCAGAAATAATAATTTCACTAACGCGAAGTAATTCAGTTTTAGTAGAACCGATACTTGGAGAGATACCAACATAATTGTATGTCCAGATGCCAGAAGTGTTTCTCGAGGTGTGTGAGCTGATCGGAGAAGAGGCCGAGGTCCCGGTAGAGTCCGCTGTATGCTTGTTTCTACTCCAGTATCTACAACATCCCCCTGACGTGTCTGTGACACTCGTACTCACTGAGCGCACTGACCAACCCTCACTGAGTGTCAGTGTGGGACAGTCAGTGCGCTCAGTGACCCCAGACACACTACAATGCCCAGTGTCTGACTGTTGTCTGCCTGTGTTCACTGCCGGAAGTGACAATTGTGTGGCCGGGCTGTGCGGTGTGCTTAGACAGGTACGTACTTCAAATATTTCAACAATTTTGGTCTAGTTGAAGATGTTAAATATTAGTTATACAATAGAACCTATGTTAGCCAAAATAAAGTGGGACAAGGTAATTTCGGATAACCAAAATTTTGGTTGGGAAAAATGTAATATTTTATGTTCTAAATGAGGAAATAGGACTTGCAGTTCAATCTCGCAAATCTGTCACGTACAGGATCGGGCCATGGTAGGAAAAGTGAAAAGGTTGGATTGTACAAGAAGCATGCTAAACGACCAAATTAATTGATTACCTGACATTTGTTGATCACCCAAGTATTTCCGTGACCACAGGACATGTTCAATATTTTATCACGGGAGAATGATTATGTAAAATGATTTTTTTAGCTGTTTTGGTTAGTCGGTATTTTGAGTAAAAGTTTTTCAGTTAATTGAGGTTTTACTGTAGTTGTGTCTCGATTATTCATCCTAATCACAAAGGTTGTTAGTAAATCTAATCTAGTCATATTATTTTGCATCAAAATGTTTCTTACTTATTTTTCTTCTTTTCCAGGTTGTGAAGCACAGTGGGGAAGAGTGGAGACACTTGCTGGGGTTTAGAGAAGGTTGTTTGTTTGCCTGCGCAGAGGTGTCATTATGGACAAAGTTTTGTGAAATAGACATTGTACAAGTCGTGAAAGACATTTTAAAAACAGACTTCGCAGGTGAATTTAAAATTCCTGTACACCTGGCGAGATTCGAGGAACACCTTAGACAACCCGTCCGTATGCACAACCTGGGTAAAGTAAAAGTGCAGACAGAAAACAACCGAGACGTCGAACACAAATTCGCAGAAGGCCCGACAATGTCATTGGCCGACTTGATTGTTCTTCCTTGTGTTTATATTGTATATCAAACTATGTCTGGTTTACAGTTCAGTGAATATTTACCGTCGGTTGTAAAGTGGTACGAGTTAGTCGTTAATGATCCTTTAGTGGTGAAAGGATTGAGTTGTTTAAAGATTCGGAGTCGCTATACTTTATTGAGTTTCATTTTGCCAGAAGTTCCTCAACAGAGTCTATACAAGAGTGACCCGAAGAGATACAAACCGAAGTTGAGGCAGTTCACTCGGCAAGAGGATGTTGAAGAAGCTTTGAGGTAATTTGAAAAACTTTATGAATAGATGACATTTCAAAAATATAATGATACCCCGAAAAGGGTACAAGACAAGCTGATAATTACCAATTAATGTAGTACAGCTAGTTGGATTTTAATTTTTATCACAGATTTCAACTTTTGTTGCAATTGAACTGGCAATGTTTGGGCCAACAAAATTACAATGCAACTCCCTAATCACATGGAATAAACATCTTCAACCTTCATTGTTTTCATACCTCATCAAAAAATGTCTTTCTGTCTATGTGTATAGTGTATGAAAAATTAGCAAAGCCACTTTAAGGGGGTTCCCTACCTCGGACTGTTTTCAATTTTCTGCGACCCTGGTGAGTTTAGTTGGAACTACAAGACAACAAAATAATCCCTAGATTGCAGTCTGCTGGTCGTGTCACCGCCAGGACGCCTCCGCAGTGGAAGTAGGCCCATCCTAGTAAACCCGCCCCAGCAGTGCACTCACTTTCATTTTCTCCCCTAGCTCCCTCTCTCTCTCTCTCTTTTTCAACCCTCGGTGACTGGCGACAACGGGCTACCTCCCTGAAACTATTCACGCCGTTCATACAGACTCAAGACCGTTGCGCGCATCTTTCAGTCAGATGACACCGCTGTAAAACAACTGTGGGATTATAGCCCAAGCTATAATTTTTGGGCTGGCCTTGCACCTGGTAGATGAGCACTTATGTGCTACTTTTTGGAGTCTTCAACCGCAACTGTGAACGTTTGATTATTTTTTTTTCGCCTTATTTCATATGACTTGGAATATTTTCCAGGGCTGCATTCGTACATAGCTTTGTGCAACTTGTAATGCGGTGTACCGCTATTGTGGCTCACGACTGCAGCAGCGCATCTAGATTGATACGACATTTTCTTAGCAAAGTTTGTTCGTTTGCCGTCCAAACAACTAATGCCGAAATATCTATCTAGGCGGAAAAGAGAAACCGATTGCAAACAACCAATAAAAGAGCCCAAAGTTTTACAACCCTTCACTCATTTCTAGGGAATTCCTCTGCCGCGCCGCGCCTGTCGCCCTAGGATCACACCACAGCGCGTCGCACAGCTTTTGCATTTGGCAAGGTTGAAAAAACGCTACATCTTGGAACTTATTTGCTCCAGTTCTAAGATGCATTTATTCAAATGAAATATTAATTTTAAACGTTTTCGTTTAACAAATATGCTACAACCTATATGGCTGAACGTTTTTATATTATCAACAGGTTCTTGGCTATATTTATTTATACTGCTTAACTGGTTTATAATAATTAATATAATGTTTTGTGTCATGGATAAATCTTGGGGGAAATATTATGAATGAAGAATGTGTAAAATTGGTATCCCTCCGCGAGAGAGTAGTTTCGATAAAGGCCGCTAGAGTCTGTCAGAATCATAGCACTTTTCGCCGTGCAAGGTTTTACGCGGTTTCATTTTGCACATACAAAAAATAATCTTTTCTTGAAACTAAAAGTGACTTGATATTTTTAGTTAAATTTCGCACTAATATTGCTTTATTAAAAATCGATAATTTCAAAAAGGATATTATTATTCAACTGTAAAGTTCACTAACTTTGACAGGTCGTTGCCCTTGATTGCGTAAGCATAGACATTTTTTAAAAAGCAAACTTAGTAGAACCACTCTTTATATACAAAATGGTGTATGGTTCACAATTTAAATGTTTAAACTGAAATCGCTATATGATACCGCGCGAAGCGGTTTTCTGACGTTTTTCGGCAGGGGTAGGGAACCCTCTTAAGTATACTTATCAAAATCGTAAACTGATTTATTACATCATTTTAGGTGTTTGGGATATCACCAGTATTAACTAAAACCTTCATTAACCTTGCATTAGTAGTAATGAACATTGGGTAATTTTTAGGTCAATAGACGGAATAGATCTAGATTTTGACTGCGACTCATATCCTTTTGGCCACGAGATTGAGTTTGACTGGACAAAAACAATGATTGACATTCAACCTGACGTGCCTCATAATCGTCTCGCAAGGAAACTACAACAGCTGGAGAATTTGGCCAATGCTGTCATTAAGGTAAGGGATTCCCTAATGTCAAATATTCCATTAGTTGATTAGTGAGGCCGGAAGCGATGGTGACAAGAAACGGAAATGGCGTCTACAGAAAACCTGAAACAAACAACATGGAGGGAGTGAAGTACAAAGCGAAGACTTGAGTTATTTTTCTGATGTCTATCACATGCTTTACTGCGAGTTAACATGGTGTGTGAATTTTGAACGGTTTTTCCTTACCTTATCTTCCATAAAGTTTTGTTCCCTTATCCTTAAGTAACGTGAGCTATTTCTGTGTAGGTAGCGAAGCCTGGTGACAAGATTGTAGACTTCTGCTGTGGTAGCGGACACCTTGGTGTGGTGTTGGCTTATTGTCTACCTCAGTGTCATGTTGTTCTACTAGACAACAAGGAACAATCCCTAGACAGAGCCAAGGCCAAGGTACATTCCCTCGGCCTGACCAATGTAACATTCATACAGTCAAACCTGGACTACTTCAAAGGACCGTTTCAGGTACGAATACTCAAGCATGTAATGCTCTTTTACCATTTTACTTTTTTATTTTTTTCTGGTTGAATTTTATAAAGAGTCTGGGGTAAACAGATGGTTGGGTCTGGCAGGGTCAGCAGCTTGCCTGGTCATTGCAAAATCAATAACATCTTGTGCCATTGTGAACTTCTTGGGAGTTCTCGATGAAATCTAGAACATCGTCTAAAGTCTCAGAAAAATCGTGAACGTTTTCTTCGGTCACGTCAAACTTATGAACAGACTCCGTCGTCATGGCGACATCATCATTGCAGCCCTTTTTGCAAATCGCAAAAAAAGATGAGCTGAGTTTGGACTTGAAATGATTTCATACTACGTTAGGCTAAGAATAAAACGATAGTTTTTTTGGCTAAAATAGTGGCTTAGGCTAAAATATATAAGAACAATTTTATCAATTTAATACCAGAAAAATTGAAACATAACAACAGATTAAACAACCAAACTGTTAAAAATTGCAATCAACACATTACTATCAAAATTTAAAACTTATTGTTTGTAAATGAATTATGTTTTCAAAACACAGGTAAATTTGTTCATGCAATAGTTTTCTGTAATCCCTCGGCTAAATGACAGTTGTCTGTTAATTTTCAGATCGGAGCCTCTCTACACGCATGTGGAGTAGCTTCAGACTTAGTTATTGAGACGAGTCTACAGAGGAAAGCAGCTTTTGTCGTGTGTCCTTGCTGTTATGGATCCTTGCAGGTATAAAAGATATTCTCTTTTGACATACATAAATGTAGAAGTTTAATACACCTACTTAAAATAATCTAATTAAAAAGTTTTATTGCACTTCCAACTAGCAAAAGAACGGGGAACGGTTTTGCGATAGTGCATCTAAATTTATTGTCACTTTTGGTGTAACAGTTTTCAACATCTTCATAAGTTTAGGTTTATTTTTATCAGATTTTGAAGAAATCTCTTTGGTTGCACAGTTTTTGGTACTTTTATCCTTACCGTATTGAAAATGGCTTATCAAATTAGAACAGAATAATATGAAAGTAGATCCTAGGTATTGGATAAAAAAAAGTAAACACACCAGTTAATAAAAAAATGAAATCTTGTTGACTTAAGGATACTGAATGATATATATAGACCAACTGTAGCCAATTTTGCATCCAAAAGAATTTGAATGAATCAATGGTAAATTGTGACACCGTCTACTTTAAGCTACTGCAACATGTTCTTCAGTAGATCCATATGGATGTTAAATCAGGAAATGTGTTTAATGTTTACTACAACTTTAATATGAAAATGGAACGTCTAGTATCCATAGTCACAGGGTAACACAAATCAGCTGATCAAACATTTTTTTCAGAGTAACCACGTGGTGAGTTACCCACGGAGCTCGGTGTTGTCTGCGCTGCCGCTGCGTCAATACCTGGTGTTGGGTCACTGCGCAGACCAGACTCACAAACAGACGTACGCCAAGAGTGAGCAGGGCGAGCGCTGCATGCGACTGATAGGTAACTGACAGCTTTGCTTGTTGATATAGGAAACAGGATTTTATCTAGATTTTGCTTGTAAGTTGCGTGTTTATAAATACGGTAATAAAACAACTTCAGCAAGGTTGGCTCAGCCAGAGAAGTAGGGTACAGAGGAAACATTCAATGGTACACTTAAGTGGTGTCGGCACCAGCAAAGTACAAAACCACCCCCCTCGCCCACGTGTAAAACTCACCGGTGGAGCAAGACAGTATGCCCTGTACGATAGGAATTTCCGCTTGTGCTCGCCACTCAGGCTCCTCCTTGTTTGTTTCTATTATATCTCTGGCACAAAATATCTGAGCTGAAAGCACAAGGTCGTCCCATAAGCAAGATTACTCTGTTCTGTACCTTTCTTTTTTGTGGATGAGCAGAAAAGTCAGATGGTACAGAAATTTGTTTAAACCCAGTGTGATTAAAAATAATAAAATTAATAAAGTTTGTTGATTGGCAAAACCCCTTATAGGCTTTAACCTAAGTTTCGCTCCCAATAAACCACTTCTTTCCTTTATAAATCCATCACCTCAATAAACATAAAACACACACTGGCAAAGTAAGATAAGAATAGAATGATAAGATAGAAAGGCGACTTTGAGAAACTGTGGAACACAAGGCAGATGTTTTTAAACGCTCAGAAAGTTATTGGTATAAAAGTAATTGTGAAACAGTCTTTAGATTTGTTGCACTATTCTCTGTAAAAAGCACAAGCTGGTCGAAGGTTCAAATCCCACCAATCAATGGCTTGTGATAATGCCTTGGTCCTATAGGCGTAAAGTAATATGAAAACGTAAACGATTCCGGGTTTGAGCCAAGCCTCCAATGATGTAATGGTAGGATATACAAATATCTTTAATGGTAATAACCTCTACTATGTTGTAAATGCCTCCAGCGGAGAAGTTTTTGAGTGTTTTCTAAGACAATTTTTTCTGTTCTACAGACTCGGACCGGTGTCTTCTAGCCAGAGAGAGAGGTTATCGAGTGTCTCTAGCCAAGCTGATTCCTTCCACTTGCAGTCCTAAGAATAACCTTCTTGTTGGAATACCAGAGTCTGTGTCTGTGTCTTAATAAAGTATTTTTTACAAAGTTAAACGTTTGTTGATCCTTCAGCTGATTCAAGATTCAAATTAATAACAAGGCAACCTATCATATTACTTGTCCTATAGTCCGTTTAAAAAAAATTAGGCAGTTTAAGGGAAAGTTTTTCTAGGGTCCCCACAACTTTTTTTTCTTAATGAACGATACAGCTGATGGTTTGAACTTATACCAGCTGTTGTTTTAAAGGAGGGGATGGAATTTCTCTTTAAAACCGCCTAAATTTGTTAAGGGAGTATGATATATGTTAAAATAATATTATCTGGGGGTCCGAAAATGTAATTGTGAAATGCTGTAAAGGTTGTATGCAATCAAATCCCACTCTAATTTGACAGTGGTCCAACAGTAGTGAATTTGTATCACTAATCTTGGCCAAACAATTTGTATAGGCTATCTCATGTTTTGTTACTGAAATTGTTGATCAGACATAAGGGATGCTTAGCATTGGTTTAAAAGAAAACAAATGTCTTAGAAACTATTTTTATTTACAATTTTTACATAACATTGTTCTCCGAGGTGTGCAAAAAATCTTAATTTTCTATGAAACTATAATACTTATAACATAGTAAAATATAAATACCTATATAATCTGCATACTAAGGTAATGTTTCCTAAGTATTATAAGTGGTTAGTTATTTCACAAATCTTCTACATGCAAAATGCAAAATTAAAGTTATTTTACTTAGTGAACAGATTTTGTGACGAGAAAAAATAAATAGAATTACTTAACAAAAACCACATTTTTAGAAAAAGATACATTTTGATTAAGAGTTTTTGCTTTTATATAAATTTAGTGGTATTTTTTGCAACCACAATCTCAGGAAACCAATTTCTTTTTCTTCAAAGAGACACATTGTTTGTATTGCATACAGATTATCGAAGACTTATGCAAAACAAAGCTCTGAAACCTGATAAGAAAATTACTTGGTAATATAGTATTATAGGAATTAAAAACAAATATTCACAACTCTACAGTAAAAGTTCGTCACATAGGATAGTAAACTGAGTTTGATATTAAAACACCTTATTGAATATTTACAAACTATACTGTACACACAGGAATCAAATAATAAATTAACTAAACTACTCGTACACAAAATAAATACAACAAACCCTAAATCTAAACAATAAATAAAGCTTATTACAAAAACAATTAAATACGGACAGAATTTTGAATCTCCAAAACATCTTTCGTCTTTCATTTGTAAGAAACAATAAAGTAAAAATTTGGCTAAATTCAGTTCAACTTAAATTAGCTCCAACACTTCATCGAAACTTCATTACAGTTCTTAAATTATTAAGTTCATTTCCACATTTGTCATGTGCCAGCTCACTTCAAGGATAAACTTTAAAACAAGTCTTCGTTTGACTAGACAAAGTTGTTTTTTCAAACTATCCTCACGTTGAGTCATTGCCTGCACCGTCGGTGAAGAACAACAGAAAGTCCGAAGCATTCCTCTCGGTTCCTTTTACATACGAAAGGGGAGTCTTGGAGGTAACCTGGGGTTCCATAGAGTCTTCACGGAGGATGCGGAAGAGCTCGGCTAGACTGGAGAAATTCCTGGCAACAGGAACGATGATCTCGAAGGGCTCCTTGTCTTGGTCCTCTAGGTCGGAGCGGTTTTTCGTTGGAGTTGAACTTTTTGGCGCCACTTCCAGGACGATCGTGTTGTCAGGCGTCTCCCGAAGAGATGCACCACTGGAGTTGGATATCGTCATCACGAGGGCCACCGCCACTGCGAGTAGAGACAACTGCAAATGAGGAGTAGAATTAGTTTTAAAGTTGTGGAGCCTATTTTGGATTCAGTATGGTATCTTTGATAATTGACTATTGGATACTGAAGTAGACATCCTTTATGGACCAGCTGTTGCCAATGTTTTTTTTAAAAGGAACATAGTTCTGTCAGCCAGATACAGATTGCGCTAATGTCTTATACACTATTTTCTACTTTATATTTTGTTTCTGTTCTGTTTTCTTTATATTTCACGGATAGTTACCGTGAAATAAAAGCCGCTATAGCTTACAACAAATCGTCCCATTAGTTTGATTTGGTTAAAAAGTCTACAGATTCAACAGAAATAAGTAATTTACATCAGTGCAATCTGTAGGTGGCTCACCCCAATCACGCCCATTTTTATTTAAAAACTGGAGGCAACTTAGACATGAGCAAGGAATGTCTAGTTGTATCAATAATCAAAGATACATCATTACCGATAATAAGTTTTAAAATACATACTTCATGTTTTAATAGCAAGGTTTTAGGCATGTGATTTTAACTTTGCCTGCTAAAATATTTTTAATTTGGTTTAATTTAATTACTTTTATAATGTATGTGATAACACCATTTTACACAACGGTAATTTCAACAATGCGTCAAGCCATATACTGGTCTAAAGTAGAAAAAAAACACGATAAAAATGCAAAATACAATAACACTCAGCATATTGTTAAATATATGAGATTGTTTTATTTGTGAGTATTTGTTTATTAGAGAATCATTATACTTTATCTGCAAATTGTCAACTTTTACTACAGAAAACATACTACTATTACTATTATTGGTTTAGTAGTATGGTTTCAGTTTTTTTTTTTTTTAATTTTCATCCCATATACATAGAATGGAGAAAGTATAAGTATCATAAAAAATGCTTGAGTTTGATTTTTTGGTAGAAGATATCTGTTTTTGGCCCACCCCCCTTAACCCGAAAAGTGGTTTGCAAAGTGATTTGATGTCTGTGTGTGTGAGACTGTCTGTATGTGTGGATGTGTACAGAGCGACAGACCACACCTGTGGTTCGATTTTGTATATAGGTAGCCTTAATCCATGGGATCTCTAGGTATTTTTAGAAATTGTTATTATAATGGTGATTTTTACATCAAATCCATAAATCAACGGAAAAGCCGCATTTCATAAAAACGGCTCCAAAGATTTCCTTAACAATTTAGTATGTCATGGCATTTTTAACTCTAAACAATATGGTACAATCACCAACGCTGTAAAAATTGGTTCAAAAGTTATGGCAACTTTTGTAATTTTAACCATAAAATATCAAGGGTTGTTGAAATGCTATTGGGAGAAAGTACGGCCAAGTTGATGATGCCATTTATTTTAGCGTTTTTTTTTTTTTTTTGCTTTACCGACTATTTTTTCAATTGATTATCTATACAGAGTGTTCAAAAAAGGTGGGGACATATTTTACGTAATGATTCCTTGGGTAAAAATAAAGAGAAAATCAAGAATAACATTTTTTCCAAAATTGCTTCATTATCCAGTATACATAAACATTTTTATCTTTGAAGTTTTTCAACCGATCTTTATGAAACTTGGTGTGCATGTTAAAGTAAAAGAGACCCATGTTGAAAAAAACATCCACCTTGATTCGACTTAAAATTTTAAAATGGCGGTCATTTGAATTTTTTAAACTTAAATTACCAAAATGACAGATTTTATGAAAAAAATGTCAAGAATACATTTATTTAGCTTTTTTTCTTAAGTTCAAGAAGATCAAATGAGAAATAGCTGAAATATTACGATTTTTTGTTGTAAAATGGGGTAGAATAAGGCTTCAGGTTTGCCCAATTTTACAAATAAAAATCGTAATATTTCAGCAATTTCTTATTCAATCTTTTTGAGCTTGGTATCGTATGATAGGAAATTAAAAATGCTAAATAAAAGTCTTAGAAGTTTTTCATAAAATGAGCCATTTTTTAGTAATATAATAACAAAAATTAAAATGGCCGCCATTATCGAATAAAGATGGATTTTTTTTCTAACATGGGTCTCTTCTACCTTAACATACCGGTACATACCAAGTTTCATAAAGATGGGTTGAAAAAATTCCAAGATAAAATGTTTATTTAAAAAATACAAAATGGTAGATATCTGGTTAACGAAGCGATTTTAGAAATTGTTACCGGTACCGGGTACCGGTGGTCTTAGGATCTATTTTGTTTGTTGGTTATTTCATTAGATTACATAAATAGTAAAACTACGCCAATATACAGGGTCTGGGTCTATATTTCAAGGCGAAGATTCAAGTTGAATGAAAATCATTGAATTTTAATTCATTCAATGAATAAGACTAGTGCATATGTTGCTCGAATTCGAGCAATTGCAAAGTATTACAGGCGACAGGCTTTCAAAACTATAGTTCGGCCGCTTAGAAAACGACCTGCGCGCTAATGCTAAACCAATGCTGGAGGAGGTCGCTTTCTAAGCGGCCGAACTATAATAACAGTCGCGATTTCCGACTACTTAAAAGAGTCAACTCAAAGATGATGTAATCAATCAATCCACTCCAGTTATCAAAACTGAAAACAAACTCAATCTGAATACGAAAGCTGTTGTGTGTATCATGTGTTTACTATGAACAGCTGTAATTAACACAAATAATTCGTCTGTTTACGTAAACAGAATCTTTACTTCATAAGAAATATATTGGGATTTGATGGCCTGTGGGGCGAAGCCCGGTGACTTTTATTACAGGAATTTGTGAAAGGGGGTGTCTACACAAAAAATACTTAATTTTGACACATCGTTTGTAAAAATCCATCCATTATTAACGGAGGAGTAGTGTTTCGTAGAAATCGCCTTCACGTATTATACAGGGTGACCGTTAAGTCTTAGGACGACTTTATAACTTTTAAACGACAAACGATATCACAACCACATTTGGTATACCGTTACTGGAAATTGTAAGCTACTTTTCTGTGTACATGGTGGTCGGATATCACCTTTGGGGGACGGCCCGTCGGGGGTTAGAAGAAAATCTTTAATGACAGCCTATGTTGAGTTGTACATCATTTTAAAGGTCTACTTCAACTGAAAACAATGCCGCAATCCGCACTTCAAAAGGTTGATCCTGCGCAAAATGGCAGATGTTCAAAGATTTTCAAAATTAACCAATTTCTTTAAATTAAAACACTTTTTTAAATCTTTAAACAACTGTCATATTTTAACGGATGGTCCTTTTGAAGTACG